TGATACAAGCTTTCAATTGCGATCAATCTGATAAAAATTAGTGCAGTCATTCCTGAGATCTGAAATTATCACAACCTAAAATTACATATTTTCAGCGGTCGGTTTCTTTTCCCGATCAAGTCTTTTCTACAATATGTGGCAAAGTTTAAGTCTCTTGTACATTATGTCGTAACGATAACGCTCTAATATATCATTCTAAAATGTGATAATTGAGATAATTGAGATACATATATCAAACGACGCATTTCTATCGTATTTAATCATGCGATAGCGCTGTAATATATCGTTTTAAATGTGTTCGATGTAATTAATAATTGATATATTGAAATATTGAGATACGTATATCAAGTAACGCGGTAATGTCGAGTTGCTAATTATATATAATATAAATTCATTATAATATATTATAATGTTGCAAATCATATATGATATAAATTCGTATGTAAAAGCTCTAAGGTTAACAATTAAAAAATAAACTAAAAATGATGTCCTATAAGAGTCGAGTGCTGGAAAATGGAAAAGAGAGAGAATCATGACGTGACGTATTATATGTACTTTTATTACTTCTTTTTATATTTAGTAAAAATATATTTATTGTTATTTTATCAAGAAAACTTTATTAAAGAAACGTTTATTATTTAATCAAGAAAATATTATTTGAAATAATATTTTTTAAACAAATATATTATATTGACAAATAATAGTATAAAAATGCAATATACTGAAGAAAAATATATTAGAAATATAACAAAACTTGTCGGAAAGCGTCGTCTGAAAGTAGATTGGAAGCTGAGCGTATATCAAAATGGTGCTTTTATACAAAAAAAATTTGTATTCTGCAAATGAAGCCAATTTTATATAAAACTAAATAAAAAGCGGAAGTATGTCTGACACGTGCAGGAGAATGTCTCTCGTCGTAATCCGTAGATGATATAGATGTATTTTGTGGACCCATCTAAACATATTATTTTTTCAGAATTGTATTTTGCAGAATTCTTTTTTACAATATTCTTCGTGGAATAAACATAAGATTTTCTTAATTCATGCAAAAAGCTGTAATATCATAAAAACAAAAAACCTTACAAAGGTAAAAAATACGCCAAGTAGATAAAGCCGAGTAAATTGTACCTAACAAAAACCCTTTATAAAAAACCTAACAAAAACCTCAATTAAAAATAAATAACTTTCTCTCTTAAAAATAATACTTCTATAAATGGTTGTGTAAAAAAACAATCTAACATTTTTATCAAAAAAATTATTTAAAAAATTATAAAAAGTAAAACTCAATTAAAATATATGAAATCAGTAAAATGATCCAAGTACATGATTCATTATTATCAAACTAGAATAAATTATAACTAATGATCTATTATTACCAAGTAATTATTACAATAAATATAACTGATATAAAAGACCAATATATAAAAATCAAACTCATAGAACAAATTCATAACAAAAAAAAAACATTTTTATACATAATAACCAAAGTAAAGTACAAAAACTTGGCATGCTTGGGTCGTATTTAGAATATTAGTCTTCACTGTAAAAATTTAAAATGTACATGTGTTTGTCGGGGAGGGGGGGGATAGTGCTTGTTTTAATACGATCCGGGCACGCCAAGTTTTTGTACTTTGGTTATTTTGCATAAAAACGTTTTTTTTTTAATTTGTTATATGAGTTTAATTTTTATATGTTGATCTTTTATATCAGTTATATTAATTGTAACTTGGATCCTTTGGTAATGGATCATTAGTTAAAATTTATTCTAATTTAATAATAATGAATCATGTACTTGGATCATTTTATTAATTTCATATATTTTAATTGAGTTTTATTTTTTATAATTTTTTGAGTAAAAATGTTAGGTTGCTTTTTTACACAACCATTTATAGAGGTATTATTTTTAAAAGAGAAAGTTATTTATTTTTAATTGAGGTTTTTGTTAGGTTTTTTATAAAGATTTTTTGTTAGGTACAATTTACTCGGCTTTATCTTGGCGTATTTTTTACTTTTGTAAGATCTTTTTGTTTTTATGATATCATAGCTTTTTGCATGAATTAATAAAATCTTATTATGTTTATTCCGCAAAGAATATTGTAAAAAAAATTCTGCAAAATATAATTCTGAAGAATTTGTTTTTTACTTAAAAAAATGATCTTGAAACAATAATAAATAAAGGTCAAAAAGTAATTTAAAAAAATATTTACTCATTTTCCTCCCAAAAGTTCCTAAAAGGTTTATAAAAGATAGCGCGACGAAATAGAATACGCCCTTCATCACACTTACGATGCCATTGTGCATATGTTTATAACTGCAATCTGCAAATGATATTCTTCTATCAGGAGACTATATATGTGCAACTTTTTGTATCATTAGATATATACGAAATTATGTACGAAAAGCTCTGCATGTTCACTCAGATTCAAATTCTGATAAGTTGTCAAACGAAGACGTGCTATGACAAGTGTGTGAAATGTATTGAAAATTACTATAATAGAAGATTGAAAGATAATTAGATGCGATGTCAATCTTACTTCAGTTGTTTGCATGAATCATGCACAGTTAGATGACTTTCACACTTGCAATGATTTTCTTTATATGTGAAGGGGCATATTGTCACAAACCTCTAAACGTTTTACATTGCGTTTTACATTGCGAAATATTAAACCTTGCCGATGGTTTTTAAAAAATCTTCTTTTCATATTTACATTTTAATTTGTGTAATTTCTGTGTATAATTTTATTGGCCTTTATTTTATTTGGCAACATATTGTACAAGTTTATACAGGAAAAAGAGCATTCTTATTTCAAAAATATCTTTATTTTTGACATGTGAATCTCTTAAAAAGTACATATATAGCGTTAAACTCTTAAAGTATATACATAGCGTTAAACGAAGATAAATTACTTGCATCAATACATTTTATATTATAAGATTCATAAGAAGTATAAAAGAGAGAGAGAGAGAGAGAGAGAGAGAGAGAGAATTATAAGAATATTATAAGATTCATATAAAATTATGACATTGTTGAAATTCAAGACTTAAAAATTTTTTTAACAAAATTATATATACGTTGCTTATACGCGTGAAACAATGATTTTTAATTTAAATATATTAGTTTGAAGTGAATATTAATTTTTTTTCTGTGTAACGTAACACGCATATAAGCATTTAATTAAATAAGCACGTAAGGCGTGAATTCTCCTCATCGAGGCCGCCGTCGTCGGCGGTTTCTTCTCGCGACACTTCAATTCCGCGACTAAAAGCGTCGCGGAATATAAAATCGATTCCATGGCCGGGTATAAAATGAACAATCCGCTTTCTCAACCCCGTTGCGTTATCACGCACGCCGTATTCTGCCGGCTGACAACCGAACATTATCGGCCGTCGCAATCGCGCTCGAATTTATAAAAAAAGCGAAGCACCGCGAGCACACACACACACACACACACACACACACACACACACACACACAGAGAAAGAGAGCGAACTAATTACCGCGCGACGCCGCATGAACGGGATCTCGTAAATTGCCCGACCCTTCCCCACACGGTCGCCCCCGCCGATCACGGGAAGCTACTATGCGCGCGCGCGCAAATCAATTATGCAATTAATTATAACGTCTGGCGCATTATATCAGGTATAACTTTCATAGGTTTATATAATAGGGACTAAACGCCGCGGAGATAACTTACGTAACAGATGCTATGTCTATATAGTTGAACCTCCTCCAGGAGAGGAGAGGTGCGCCTCCCTCAACCCCCGCGCATCGCGCTCTCGCAATTTCGCAAAAATGTAGCGGCGAAGAATGCCGCGATGTGCCCGCGAGGATCCACTTAATTCGCGATATTACGCAAGCTAATTTATATGCAGATCGAGCGGACGATGACGACAACCATGGACGGCCGATGATCGTTCAAATTGTCAAACAGGACACCGTCGGATATACCGAGGACGATCTGCGATCTCGCTTGATGCGTTTTACTTGTTCTTTTCACGATGATGAACAAATTTACGAAGAGTCTCTCTCTCTCTCTCTCTCTCTCTCTCTCTCTCTCTCTCTCGCGCGCGCGCGC